ACATAGGCCAGCCTTTGTCTTCCATTTAGTCTTTAAGAGCCAAAGCCTTATCCGTGAAGCCCCTGGGAGGGTCAGGGAGGGGTTTAGGGTTTAGGGTTTAGGGGTTTAGGGTTTAGGGTTTAGCAATCTTTATCCTTAGGGGGCTGAGTCATACAGGGGCCTTAATAATTACAATAGGGTTTTTGGGGTACATGATACTATAAATATCATAAGGAACGCCCAAAATAGGTTTGGTAATTGTTTAGGCCCCTATATTACCCTAGCCCAGAAAAGGCTTAACTAGGCTTAACCTTTCCAATTATGGCACGATTCTAGAAACTCCCAAAATTCAAAAAAAACCTAAACCCTAAACCCCTAAACTCTAAACTCTAAACCCTAAAGGTTAAGGTTACCTGTTCAGCCACTGAGTATCAGATCCAGAGTTCAGCAGCAGCTGCACAACCCCCCGGAAACCATTCTCCGACGCGAGCAGTAAGGCCTTACTTCCCCAAAACGGTTTAGGGCTTAGGGTTTAGGGGAAAGAAAAGGTTAAGCTTTCAGATTACTACTACATTATAAGAACCAAAAAAGTTTGAAGGTTGGGTAATTGGGAACTAAGAGGCTGTCTTGCCGTCATTGTCGAACCCTCTTTCATCACAACCAACTCGCAGCAGCAAGCGTACCATCTCCAAGTGGCCACCCTTGGCTGCAAGGTATAGGGCTCCATCGCCGAAACGAGCACCAGCTCGCAACAGCAAGCACACAATCCCAAAGTGACCTTTCTCAGCTGCGTGCATGAGGGCTGTCCGGTTGTCCATGTCCAGGTCGTCCATATACGCACCAGCTTCGACCAGCAAATGTGCAATGTCCAAGTGACCATGCTCAGCCGAGAGTATTAGGGCGTTCTTGCCGCGGTGTCCCTGAAAGTCTTTGTTACCACCAAATTCCAGCAGCACACGCGCGATCTCCAAGTCACCCTTCTCGCATGCGAGCATCAGGACTGTCTTGGAACCTTTAGTTGCTGAATTCATACGCCACAAGCAACTTAAACTTTCTGTTCTGTACGGGATTAGATTCTCCCAAAAAGTGTCGAGCTTACTCATTCAACTACCATGGTACTGCGGTCGTAGCAACCTGTATGAGCACCAGCTTCCAGCAGCAGTCGAGCCGTCTCCATGTGGCGCCCCTCACATGCCAACATCAGAGCCGTCTTTCCCTCCGAATCTGTACGATCCTTTGCGACACCAGCTTCCAGCAAAGAGCGGACGATGTTTGTACGGTTCCGTCGAGCATTGTCTGCCAGCTCTGCCGCAGCCAAGCGTGCAGCGTTCTTGCTTTCCGAAAGATCAGAGATCAACACCAACTGCAGATCCGCGGATGCAGCCAGTTTTGCACCATCGTCCAAGACATTCCCGTCATGCAGAAGTTGCTGCAAAGACACGGGAAAGCCATGCTGGTCGCGCAAATGCTCCTTCAAAGCCACTGAATCCTTGATCTCCTCCACTTGGGAATTAAGTAAGGCTAGAAGTACCCTTATGGGAGTCAACAAAAACCCTCTATGTTATATCTATATAATCTAGGAACCTGATTAAGAAACCCTGGTCCTGTAACCCCAAGAAATATTAGGATTCAAAAAAGGAGCCCTAATGGCCCAAGGTTTCTTAATCAGATTCCCATACTAGTTGCCTCAGGGTTTAGGGTTTAGGGTTTAGGGTTTAGGGCTTAGGGTTTAGGGTTTAGGGTTTACTATAACCTTAGTTACTATGATCTCCTCCACAGACACGGCGGCGAGCTCTTGCCCAGAAGGTCTCCAGACACGAAGCATTGCGGTGGAAGGCAGCGAACTGAGGCTAAGTCATATCATGATGCACTCTGGGCTCAACATAAGCCCTAAAGCCGAAAAGCCTAAACGGTTCATGTGGGAGAGCTGGGCTTCATCGAAGACATCAGTTGAAAAGGTCACCTAATCAGCAAAACATCCTCGTAGAATCATTGGGCGTCCTCGAACGCAAACAGACCACGAAACAAACACACACACACACACACATATATATATATATAGCGGCCTTATCGATTAGGATAAGGTTTGGGGGCCGAAAATACTATAGTTATAACAAGGAACCACCAAACTAATATAGGTAATTATTTAAGCCCTACATTAAACTCGGTCTGCAGGCCCCAACGCGAAATAGTAGTCAGAGACCTATTCACTGATGGCACTGATGGGTCTTCTGCCTCAAACAGCTATGATTGAAGACAGCGGTATAGGAGCCCAGCGTAGCACTTAACCGCAGTGGAATCAATATTAACAAAGAAACAGTTAACCAAAACGAACGAATCAATAATCGAATCATGACTAACAATAGCAATGAAGAGTAATAGTATTAATAATCGTACTTGGTAATATCAGCAATAATCAAGATAATGTCACTATCGTCGTCGTAGTAGTAGTAGTAGTAGTAGTAGCAGTAGCAGTAGTAGCAGTAGTAGTAGTAGTAGTAGTAGTAGTAGTAGTAGGTAGTAGTAGGAGTAGTCGTAGTAGTAGTAGTAGTAGTAGTAGTAGTAGTAGCAGTAGTAGTAGTAGCAGTAGCAGTAGCAGTAGGAGTAGTAGTAGTAGCAGCAGTAGTAGTAGTAGTAGTAGTAGTAGTAGTAGTTAGTAGTAGTAGGAGTAGTCGTAGTAGTCGTAGTAGTCGTCGTCGTCGTCGTAGTAAAAGTAGTAGTCGTAGTAGTAGTAGTAGTAGTAGTAGTAGTAGTAGTAGTAGTCGTACTACTAGTAGTAGTAGTAGTAGTAGTAGTAGTAACAGTAGTAGTAGTAGTAGTAGTAGTAGTACACAAGCCGTGTTGAAAAT